TCATCTTCAGTTATCATTTTGAATAAAATGAAGAATTCGAAATTGTGTAAAATAATAATTCAAAAAGCGGTTACACAAATTTACGTTAAGATTTAACAAGCTTAAATAATCGCAAAGATTATACAAGTTAATTAAAAGGAAATATAGAACTAAAATAAAATATACACATCCAGTAAAAATTATCCTAATTAATTTTCCCGCTTATATAAACTATGTCAACTCATCGTAGAATAATTTCCACGCTGATGACAATCTGTCAGCATCCCTATGATTGATACAGCTTGTGTGCAACTGCACCTTGTGAATTTCTGAGCTTGTGAAATCATTCTACGATGAGTTGACATAGTTTATATAGGTGGGAAAGTTAATTAAGATAATTTTTACTGAATGTGTATATTTTATTTTAGTTCTATATTTCCTTTTAATTAACTTGTATAATCTTTGCGATTATTTAAGCTTGTTAAATCTTAACGTAAATTTGTGTAACTGCTTTCTGAATTATTATTTTATGCAATTTTGAATTCTTCATTTGATTCAAAATGATAACTGAAGATGATCGCTTAAAGCGTTCAAAAGCATTTTTAAGATATTAAAAACGATTTGCTGGATTGTTTAAAGGTTTTGTTTTTACTTATACTTATATTGTAGTTCCAGTAAGAAGGTATTTATTTATATGTGAAGCGCTTGCATAACATGCTGATGTCGACATAAAGTGTAAATGCATGTAAAGTGCAATGCTCTGTAATAGAAATATACAAATAAGAGATTCGTTTTTGATGAACTATGACTTTCATTTAAATGTGTAATTAATAATTAAAAATTAATTTTTACTATGTATCTATTCAGTCAGAGTGGCCACTGAAAATCATGTGTCATAGTTTGCCGACCCTTACTTTACAGCATAACTAATAAAATATCTACTTAAAAGTCTAAAATTTGGAATATAAAATCATGACAAATTGAGTCTTGCTGATACACAAATAATAAAATTAATCCATTACAATATATATATGTAATGGATTAATTTATCAACATATCAAAATATTTAATAGTAAGATTACCAAATGGATAGCATATATGATGTGAAACACACATTCATAAGGTTATTCATTGATATTTATTTAAAACACATGGTACATTCTAGCAGTAAGACCCTGCTTAGCACTGCCTCGCTTAATGCTGATTTGATATAAAACGGTCTGCTCAAAGCCTAAAAAAAAGCTCAAAATTTATACTGATTTTAATTATTGCAGCATTTTATTGATTCGTATATACAATTATTTGCAAACACAAACCAATCAGCAAAACATGGCAAAAAAGTGTACTTTCTTTAAATCTATGTTTGTTTGGTGCAATTTTGGAAAAAATATATCATCATGGATGCCATAGGAAATATCGACTTCACTTGGCAAGAATTAACTAATAAATGCACAAACAAAGTGTAGAAGAAGTTATGGTTGAAGGTATCCAAGAATTCTCAACCAGAAGAGCCTATCACTGTATTGTTAAGTTAACCAAACTCAACCTAATCAATATAGCAGGACTAGGAGATATAGATGAGCAGGATACTGAAGAGTGACAGTAGGTTTCTGGTGAGAGCCTTACCAATGACAACCTTCAAGAACTGGCAGAACATGGAATTCATGTGGAACTGGAAAATAGAGATTCTGAAAACAAAGAACCCAAAGAATTTCTCTACAGATTTCCTTAGTAAAAGTTTGGTAACAATAACCAAAATTGTTGATCAAATTGTAACGAATGATCCAGATTTTGAACGGAGTGCAAGAGCAAAACGAGGCATTTTGGATGCAATCTTCTGCTATTGACATTTGCTTAACAAAAGGAAAAACGTGACAAATGAAACTATGCGACTTTATCGCAAAAAGCAAGAATTTCAGAAAAGCCACAACCTTCATCACAAAAAATGAACTTTACATTTTTGTGTGTATATATTTGTATGTTATTTAACATATATTATTATACAAATTAATATAAAAATAACTTAAAGTAAAATCTGTTTATTTTTGGTCGCGTGTTCCCCTATCCCTATTTACTCCATGTTAAAATGACTTCATTTAACACTGTTTCACTTAGTGCTTTATTGTCTAGGAATGCATTCCCCATGTTAAGCAGGGCCTTACTGTATTTACTACAAGTAAATACAGAGTGCAAAGTTCTTTGTATCAACAAATTAAAAGAAACCTTTATAAAAATAGATCTGTTTTGCATGTGTCTAAAAAAGATGTAAGGAATATAAAGCAGAATATACTAAAGCTAATTACACCTGAGCTTGTGAATGAAAAATACTAATCTTCTGTCATCCACACATTCAGATACACCTGTACATGTGTAGCCAGCTTAACAGTCACATCACTGGACTTTTACTTCCATTTAGTTTTTTGCTTGTATAGAAATTTCAGCTTTTTGTTCTTAAGTGATCTATTACTTAAGAACAAAAAGCTGAAATTCTAAACAAAAACTTTGTTATTCAAACTTTCACTTAAAGGTTAGAATAAAGTAACAAAAAAACATGGGCAATCTGCCAAACCAAGGGTACCTACTGAGAAAACTTTGGAAAATGGCTCTGTTAAGATATTAGATAGTGCAGAAAAGTTTGAAAACTCTATATGGCCAGCCCATTAGTCAGACTCAAACCTATAACAAACTATCAGTGTTCAATAGTTTTATCATTTTGTCATTGGTAGGCCACTTAAAAAGAAAATTTCGGTTGAATTATCTTTGAAGGAATTAACTTGACCTCTTTAAAGAAAGCCTACAACTCTAGTAAGATATGACATCAACAAGAAAAAATCTTGTCATTGGTAATGTATCTAATTTTACTTTAGAGTTAGCAGTAGGATCTGAATATATCATATTCTTTATATTCCTGCTGTATAGATCCATCATAGCATAGAGGAATTCTAGCATACTACTCACCACTTTCATATTTAGTCACTGCTTACATTTTACTTAATGATCAGAGGATGAGACAGTCATAACCTCTATATAAACAAAGAGCTGGCATTTGCATTTGATCTTCAAAGATAATTTGCTATGACAAGCAATTTATAACTGTTATAGTACTTATACTATATATATAATACAATAATTATTACAGTATAATCATCATTCAAAATAAATTGAAGAATCTCAAAAACATCTAAAAGTTAATACACCAGACCAGGGGTGGGGAACCCTTGGCAGATGTGTCAATGTCGCAAGCCAACAACTTTTTACCTGGCATGCAACCCAGGCTCATCTTAAAAAAAATAAATGTCAAACATCTTTTCAAAGTTGTATATTTTTAACTTAATAGAATACAATTTTATTGAGTAGCAAGGAACTAAATAAAAATACAACAAAAACAAACAATAAGTAATAAACGAAACAAACATCCTATAAGAGATCAATCTCTGTGATATACAGTCGACCCCCCCTATAAGATATAGATACGTTCCAATTTATTAGGAATCCGATTTCTTACAAGTCGTTCCAATCACAGCCCGACACGTGTCAAGTTTACGGACTACTAAGTCTACGGCTGATTGAAAGGTTTTCTTCCATAAAATTAATCGATTCTACACTAATCCGACTCAACATTTCCAAAATACTTATATTTTTTCGTAGTTTTATAGGAATCGTAATTATAGGGGGGTCGACTGTACTGACTTACAAGTTTTATCTTGCTGATCTAGTCATTCCTTGCACAGAGGGGTATCAGATTAGAAATAGTGTTGGATTACTGAATGTGTACAGATCTAAAGGCAATAAATGACATGACTCATCACAGTTTGATACTGATTCTTTTTGGGGGCAAATAATACATTGCACTGACATACAACACTGTACACAGAAACAAAATCCAAGTAAACAGGAAAACAGGATATGTGACATGACTAACATTTTCATGAAAATAGAAGTGCATAAGCAATCACACTGGGGATATGTTGAATAATTGAAAAGACAGATGTATTAATAATAATAATAAAATCTAATTTGTTGATTGAGATTTATTTTTATTTTTTAAAAAATTGAAATTACAGTATATGTGCCTAGTATAATTATTTCATAGATCTATAACTGCTGGATCAAATATGTTAACCCACATAAAAAACCAGTTTACCAATTAACAAGTGTGAATATGATTAACATTTGAGTAACGTTTTCGTAACCCCTTCTGGGCTCTTCTTCAGGCTTCTTTTTAATTTGGAACAGGCTGGCAGTTACCATTCGATTTTATATTCAAACATTAAGAGATTTCGATTACCGTATGTGCACGTGTTCCCCATAAGATTTTTAAATATGTTTGAACAATATGACGAGTTCGAATGTAGAGAACCCATGTGCATGTGTTCCCGTTTAAATATGACTGAAAATTAAATATAATTGTCTAGTAAAGCCTGCCATGCCATCGAAAGACACATCTCCTCCTTAAAATTGTGCAGTTAAGTATGTTAACCTGCAAATTATAATCAGTTATTATTAAAAAACACAAAACCTAATTATAATTTGATTGAAAAAAACTGATATTTAGTAAAATGATGACATGTCAACTAATTGTTAAACTTGAAATATACAGGATGATTAATTATTTTAAGGAAATTCAATTAAAGTTCAGTATACTTATAATATTAATATCCAGACAATTCAATTAATACTTCAAAATATATTATTAAAGTAATAAAATTCAATAAAGTTTGTTTATTTGTTCCATGCAGCCAAGTAATTCTGTTGATAAACAATGTGAAAAGCTGAAATTAAAGTTTTTTTATTAAAAGATAGGAAAATGATTTAGCCTCAAAGGAATTATATAACATAATTTATTAAATAATTTACATTTAAACTTCAAAAACATGATTAATTCATCAAATATGTAAATTATGAGGAAATAATATTAAATTTTCTGTAATTTTAATTAAAGAGTTTAAAAGATAATTTATATTATAATAACAAATCAAATGGGAAAAAATAATTCAATACGTTATAAATAATCAAATTACCTGCAACTGTTTGTAAAAAGGGTTAAAATCTAAATCATCTGATTTGGCTGACATCTTGAAACCGATGACGAAATAAACAACTTTGAAAATGAAATAGATTATTTATACTTAAACATAAAATTATAAAAAAAAGGAAATTTAAATTAATAAATGTAAGTTTATAAAATTAAAAAATAAAATAAAATCTACTAACTTTTATGCATTTTTTTTAAATTAAAAAAAATTTTTTTTTTGAATAACTTAACAAATCTTTTATTTCGAAATTAATTCGTTTATAACTAAATTATTTCTTAAAACGAACCAATTAGAGTTAGCGTAAGTTAAATATGTTATAAATTGTAATTATAAAGTAAAATCGAAAATGAGGGGGCGCTGTTATCGTTGATGACATCATGAATAGCATCACCAACAACTCTTATCAAAATGGCAGCAACAAGGAGGCTTCAGAAAGTAAGATTCTCGTTTGAAATTTTGAAAATTCTTTATAATTTTGAAGGATTTTATTATTAAATTATGTTTACACTTAATTAATGCAATGTTTTAAGTGTTTTATATAAGTTTTATACATTATTTAATTGGAAAATTTGTATAGTTTTGAATTCAAAAAATTCACTTCCTAACATATAATGTAATAAGCCTAATAAGTTAAATTTAAAGAATTTTAATTTCTTTATTTTAAAATTAGAAAATAATATTTTTTCAAAATAAAATTCTATTTTTGTTCTGTTCTAATTATTATTTTTTTAATTTTGTTTTTAATTTCAAATTATACAGGAATGACTCATCATAAAAATTATCATTTAAAAAGTTCCAATTTCTCTCCTGTTTGTGGTCTGAAATACTTTCCTATACACAAAATATGCCTATTTAATACATAAAAACTTCATTATTTTAGTTACAAACTGATTTTGTACATTGAATTTTCTAGAAAATACTTTAATTCGTTTAAAATCAGTGCTTTTAATGCTTAAATCTGTGTGTTTTTGGTTGATTTTAAATGGAGGACCCCAATCTTTTTCTTGTGTTGATCCCCTTATGGAGAAAATTCTTTTCAATTGACCCCCCCCAAAATTCTTATTTCCGAAAACTTTCCGTAATGTATCAAGTAAATTATTAAATCAGTTAATGAAATTCCCCCGCGATTGTTGTTGTTTATTATTGCACTTTTACGAGAATTTCAGATAAGTATCGTGATTTTTTCATTGACCCTTGAGGTCTGTAAAGGGAATTTCCTATTTAAATTCTTACCGTTCTTTACTTTGAACTAAAGCTACCTTTTGTTTGGTTTTATTGTTTATATACAAGTTGTGCAACAGAATACACCGTTAAATTGCCTGTAGACTGTATAGATACTTTGTATACAAAATTAGAAGTACTTAAGGCTATTTTTTTCAATTATTGGTTAAAATTATGAAGTATAAGATGAAATTATAGTCAAATCTTTTTGTTATTACATAAAATTCATTTAAAATCAGAGTTTTTAATGCTTAAATATGTCTTTGTAGAAAAGGGCTGGCAGAATTACAATTTAATAAAAAGTAAAATACATCTGGATAAATTTTAAACTGTTTTGCATATTTGTGCAGAGGCATAGCCTATAAAGAAAGGTTGTCTCTGCAATGGAAATAGTTGTCCTGGTGATTGGACATGGCAAGCAAAATTGGACTCGTATCCAGATGTATTTTACTTTTTATTAAAAAGCTTAAATGTGTGTTTGGGTGATTTTTAACTCGTACTGTTTTTATTGTCTGATGATTCAAACTAATACTACTTTTGAATTAATTTTAATTTCCAAATAGATGTTTTGCAACTGAATTGACCTATAAATTGTATGCTACTCTTTGTAAATGTGTTATTTTGCAAGTTCAATGATGGGATACAGCAATAGAACACATGGATGAACTTCCAAGAGGATGATGACTCTTAAGAGGAACTTACATATGGGAAACTGGCCTATATTTAGGTGTTAAACATAAAAAAAAAACCTTAAACTCCACATAGCTTGTGGTCAGGTGCAAACCTAATTATCACTGTTCAATTGTTTCATCCACTGGGCCGCTGGTAGATCTTGCTAAACTTGACTTTCATAACAACATTCCAATTATTAGATGGTTGTGTGAATCATAAAATGAAACTGTAGTTAAATTTTATGTCTGTATTTACATGACAGTTATGAATTGGAAATTAATTGATTAGCATTTGTTTTAAGTACCTCTGTATGCTTACTGGTTTATTTGACTTTGACTCTTGATTTCTGGTCGCAAATACAGTGGGTGATCGGTTAATGAACATAATCCGTTCCAAGACTTTGTTCGCTATCCGAATTGTTCGTTAACCCATTATCAAAATACCATAGGTTTCTATGGAAATTTGATTAATTCGTTCTGGAGACCCCAAAAAAATAAAAAATATATACTTTCTTATTACATTTATTCATATGTAATAATAAAAATACATATATACACGGTCTTGCATTTTTATTAGTCATATTTTTTCCATTTGTGGGGGGTTAAAGAATCTGTCCAATGTTGATTGCTTTTCTGTCTTCATGATTTTTCAGAAGTAATTAATAGCATTGTAATTGTAGAGATATCTAGGCCTATTAACCTCAACCTGGTTTGGATGCCATTTTAAGACTGTTGTTCTGACATCCTTCCACTTCTTCAAAAGATTTTTAATAGCAGATATTGGCATAAATCTGCATTTTCAGAAGAAAACGTAAAAGAATTGTTTCTGTCAGAAATATAAAAGGCTGGAATTACAAGAGAGGGTTTCAAAGTTTGGGGGAATACTATCTGATCAGTATATACTGGGTAGAATGTCTATGTCAACATCTCCCGTGCTCTGAAAAGTTTCGGATTTTTGCCTGAAGACAATTCAGTATTCGTTATTTTACGTCGCTTCTTCTTGTGTTTGTTCAGTGAAGTGTTCGTTGTCTGATCATAAAAATCTTTTGCGAAAGTGTTTGCTATCCGATTTGTTCATTAATCGATCTGTTCATTAACTGATCACCCACTGTATAATGTTAATGACAAACATAACTAGATATATTTAGTAAATCACTTAAATTTATTTATTTAAGAGTTTGTGGAATTTTTTTTTCATATCTAACTACAATGCTATATACTGATAACACTAGCATTTATGCTAATGTTATCACTACATAGCATTGTATAATACTTAAATATATGAAATATATAATAATTTTATGACAAAAAAATGTTTTATAATGAAATTGCAAGTAATGCTATGAAATAATTGAATGTTTAATGTCATTATGAAATGATGCTACTGTGTGAAATTTGTTTTGGTTGAGATGAGAATTATTGAAATTATCTTTAGAAATAGGTTTAAAATAGATTGATGTTTTTAAGGTTTGATAGTCAACTCAATATGTATTGAATCATTAGAAGTGATCTAAATTGTTTATGAATTTGTCTTCTACACTGTTTTATCACAAACATATATATATATATATAATTTATTTGGCAAAAGAAGTTATTAATAATTAATTAACACACAACAAAATTGCTAGATCTTGCTGAATAAGCCATTAAGATCTTAGAGTAGTGTATATATCATTCTTCCTAATGTTAATGCTTTACCGACTCATCTATTTACTCATCCATTAAATTAAAAAGAAAAGTGTTTAGTTTAGAGCAGAGGTCACCAAACTTTTTCAGTGGGCCAGGTAACTGAGAGAATGACAAGTGTGGGCTGCATAACCATTTTGTTCAATATGAAGCATTGAATACACAAAAAATAAAGGCAACTTTTTGGTAAATAAATATTGTTTGTTATCAAAGAAGGCAACATTAGCAATAAGGTAGTATAAACACTGCAATGAAAGTTAAAACATAATTGCTACAGCAGACTCATAGTTGCTTTTATTAGAAACTTTATCATAGATACTTAACAAAAAGCACTCTTATATCAAGTCACCAAAGTTTTTATTTCACTGATTTTCCTAAAAATTATATTACTGTCATATCCAAAAAGATCAGATTGGACAAATTTAGGCATTTTTACTTACTTTAATTTTTTTTACATAGTAAGTTTATCTACAATCTATAATACAGTAGAGCGTTGTTTATCCGAAGGTCAGTTATCCGAAGGAATTCCAGTCGACAAATTTAAATTTTCGCCAGTGCTGTGACGCTGTAATCTTTGGCTATGTCTTCAGCTACTCAAATATTTTACGTTTTTGATACTAAATTAACTTCTGAAGTATAATTTTTTATTGTTTTTATATTTTTCAATATATTTATCTTGTTTGTACAAAATAAAAAAATAATTTTTAACGATACAATAGTCTTCGTTAGCCTTAACATCGACGAAAATTCAACGCGAAGCGACACGCAACGGAGAAAAATGTCAAGATGGGATAAATTAATATATTTTTTCGTACATAATTGGTTATCTGAAAAATAAGTTATCCGAACAACCCCAGTCCCCAATTGATTCGGATAAACGACGCTCTACTGTATTTCCATATAAATAATTATATTTTAATTCATTTGTGGCCATGGTGGGCCAGATGAACTGACCTTGTGGGCCATAGTTTGGTAACTTCTGGTCCAGAGCAAAATTCAGTTTTCTGTCTTTATGCAGACATTGTCTATGCTCTAGTATTTATATTTAATAGATATCATTAATCAAATGCGTCTATTTTAATGAGTTAATTCAGTTATCCCTCATATAATATGCTAGTTATATTCCAAAAAAGTGCAGTGTTATGTGAATCTGTTCTATACAAAACAAATGACTAATACAAAACATGGAGTTAGGTTCTGAAAGCTAACAAAGTATACTATTGTTTTTTGTTACTAAGATAAATATGTTTTAGTAAAGCAATCAATGATGCACTCCAAAAGAAAAGACCTACCAACATAAATTATTCTAAAAAAAATAAATAAGAAAATATTTAAGTTCCAAAGAAAAAGACAAACCCACACCATCATTCAACATACAATCAATTTTTTTCAATTATTTCCAATCAATAATTAATTAATCAAACACAATTAAAAGTACTGTATTATGCATTAATATTAATTTTAGTTAAACTAGGGTGTTTTCTTTTTACAAAACACCTTCATCATCGTAGCTTTTGTTGTTGTTGACCAGAAATACTAGCAAAATTATTATTATTTTTTTTATTATAATTTTTTAAGGATGACAAAATAAAAATGTTTTTAATCGGAAATTTGTTCTAGAGGGTTGCATTTGTTCAGTTGAATACCAAGCAACTTTTTCCCTCTCCCCTTCCCAGAATTTGTGTTTGAATACGAAATTGGTTCAAGTGGGAAACAGTTCAAGTACCAAGATACCACTATATTTCATTCATAATTTTTACAAATAATTACTTATCTGTTGTTAAAAAAGATTAATAACGCTTACCTAAAAATGTTTACATAAACTTTACTAAATATGAAGATTAATCTATAAAAACA